TTTAATTTAAACAGGCATTCATTTCCATTAAGCATGCTCCAACTATCTGGAACTCATGTACCCATTCTATTAAATATAGAAATTCAATATTTTTAAACAGGAAGGCCCAGAGACATAGGAGCCATTATTCTCAAGCGATTACACAACATTGAGTAAACCATTCTTCAAATGTCAACAATAATATAATAATATTCTCCCGCAGAATTTAACTGAGATCAAGAGGAATGTCCACAGAATGCTCATCCATGAAAGCCTTGGTGTTGTCAGTGTCCGTATCAGTAGGGAGAGTCTTGCCCAGTTGCTTCTTCAGGATATTTATCCTGGAAACTCCTTTGTGCAATCCAGGCATCTTCAAGCCCTCCATGAAACTGAGAGGATCCTTGTTGTGGATTAATTGGCCACTGTGGTGCGGACACTGAGCTGTGTCCAGCAAATAACGCCCAAATAGTGCAGTGAATTGCGCAAATAATTCTGCAACTTGTTGAGGATGTACCTGAAATACGAAAGAGGAGACAAAGTGATAGGAACCCACTCTAATAACTCAATAATTTGGGTTGGGCCATGGGTCTTTCATGGACCTGGGTAAAACTCTCCTTGGAAAACCGGCTTGCTAAGGGAGGGTGCCCAAGCCTTTATAACCCACATGCCCACCCTTTTCCCTTTCAATGTGGGATCCCAACATTCCACCACGCTTCCGCAACCGACGTTCACGTCGGCCTCTTTACCCCCGTCGGCCTCTTTACCCCTTGGGTGACTACGCGGATCCCCTTTTCCCTCGGGCCTCCATGCCCTTTCTCGGGGTAGCAGCCCGGGCCCAAGGTCAGCCTGCCACGGGTCAGCCACGGGTCAGCCTGCCACTCGTGCGCTGCCACATAGGCACAGGATCATGCTCTGATACCAATTGATAGTAACCCACTCTAATAACTCAATAATTTGGGTTGGGCCATGGGTCTTTCATGGGCCTGGGTAGAACTCTCCTTGGAAAACCGGCTTGCCAAGGGAGGCTGCCCAAGCCTTTATAACCTACATGCCCACCCTTTTCCCTTTCAATGTGGGATCCCAACAAAGACCCATGACCCAACCCAAATTATTGAGTTATTAGAGTGGGTTCCTATCAATTGGTATCAAAGCATGATCCTGTGCCTATGTGGCAGCGCACGCGTGGCAGACTGACCCGTGGCAGGCTGACCTTGGGCCCGGGCTACTACCCCAAGAAAGGGCATGGAGGCCCGAGGGAAAAGGGGATCCGCGTAGTCACCCAAGGGGTAAAGAGGCCGACGGGGGTAAAGAGGCCGACGTGGACGTCGGTTGCGGAAGCGTGGTGGAATGTTGGGATCCCACATTGAAAGGGAAAAGGGTGGGCATGTGAGTTATAAAGGCTTGGGCACCCTCCTTTGGCAAGCCGGTTTTCCAAAGAGAGTTCTACCCAGACCCATGAAAGACCCATGACCCAACCTAAATTATTGAGTTATTAGAGTGGGTTCCTATCAATTGGCTGCCACATAGGCACAGGATCATACTCTGATACCAATTGATAGGAACCCACTCTAATAACTCAATAATTTGGGTTGGGCCATGGGTCTTTCATGGGCCTGGGTAAAACTCTCCTTGGAAAACCGGCTTGCCAAGGGAGGGTGCCCAAGCCTTTATAACCCACATGCCCACCCTTTTCCCTTTCAATGTGGGATCCCAACACAAAGCAAGCATTATTTGTGTAAGTAAGTTTTAATTTTTATATATGCACCATATATATGTGTAGCATGATACTAAATCTACAATAACGCATGCTTATCCTCACCATTAAACAAGCATTTGGCGCAAAATGATTTCTTGGATCAGAAAAGAAATTGTGATTTGATAGTAGCTGATCATGTGCTGCCTGGAATAAGAATATAGATGAACAAGTATTTTAGTTGTGTAAATACATTTGTCATGGAAAATATATTAAGTTAATACTAAAAACTATCGTAAGGGAGCATGTTCATCCTCATAGTATGGAAGAAGTATTTGGCACAAAATGATATCTTGAAGAATCAGAAACCAAATTCTGATTTGATAGTAGTTGAGATTCTACCTGCTGTGAATCTGTTATTCATGCACTACATCCATATATAAGTTGATTTAAAAGCTAGTATGACTCATATGCATCCTCACCATTGAAGAAGTACATGGTGCAGAATGATTCATTGGATCAAATACCATATTGTGATTTGATAGTAATTGATGAGGTCCCACCTGTTGAAGTAAAAATTATAAACAAACAAGCATTAGTTGCTTAAATATATTTTATATGCACAATTATAAGTTAATACTGAAAACAACCAACATATTCATCCTCACCATTAAAGAATCCAAATTTTGATGTGGTAGTAGCTGAGGTTGAAGTAAAATCATTTGGTAAGTAAAAACATACGCAAAAAGATGATTTATATGTGCACAATTATTTTCCTGTACTACCATATAAATGATTACCCTTACCATTTGAAGAAGTTAATTGCACAAAATGAGTTCTGGATCAAATTCCATGTTGATTTGATAGTGTTGAGGTGTACCTAAAGTAAGAATCATAGACAAACAAGTTTTACTTGTGTGAATATGTTTTCATGCACAAGTTGAGACTAAAAGAAACCATAAGCCATATGCATCCTCACCTTGAAGAGTAATTGGTCCAAAATGATTTCTTGGATCAAGTTCCTATTGTGATTTGATAGTAATTGAGGTTGTACCTAAAGTAAGAATCATAACAACAATTATTTGTGTGAATACGTTTTCATGCATAGTTGATACCAGAAGCAACCATAAACCATCCTCACCATTGAAGAAGTAATTGGTGCAAATGATTTCTTGGATCAAGTTCCATATTGTGATTTGATAGTAGTTCAGGTTGTATCTAAAGTAAAGAATCATAAACAAACAAGTATTACTTGTGTGAATACGTTTTCATGATAAGTTGATACCAGAAGCAACGTCCATAAGGTATATGCATCCTCACCATTGAAGAAGTAATGGTGTAAAATGATTTTTGGATAAGTTCCATATTGTGATTTGATAGTTGTTGAGGTTGTACCTAAAGTAAGAATCATAACAAACAAGATTACTTGTGTGAATATGTGTTTCATGCATAAGTTGATACCAGAAGCAACCATAAGCCATCTCACCATTGAAGAAGTAATTGATGCAAAATGATTTCTTTGATCAAGTTCCATTTGTGATCTGATAATAGTTGAGGTTGTACCTAAAGTAAGAATCATAAACTAACAAGTATTACTTGTGTTAATCGTTTTCATGCATAAGTGATACCAAAAGCAACCATAAGCCATCCTCACCATTGAGAAGTAATTGGTGCAAATGATTTTTTTGATCAAGTTCCATATTGTGATTTGATAGTAGTGAGGTTGTACCTAAAGTAAAGAATCATAAACAAAACAGTATTACTTGTGTGAATACGTTTTCATGCATAAGTTGATACAGAAGCAACATCCATAAGGCATATGCATCCTCACCATTGAAGAAGTAATTGGTGCAAATGATTTCTTGGATCAAGTTCTATATTGTGATTTGATAGTAGTTGAGGTTGTACCTAAAGTAAAGAATCATAAACAAACAAGTATCACTTGTGTGAATACGTTTTCATGCATAGTTGATACAAGAAGCAACCATAAGCCATCCTCACCATTGAAGAAGTAATTGATGCAAAATGATTTCTTTGATCAAGTTCCATATTGTGATTTGATAGCAGTTGGTTGTACCTAAAGTAAAAAAATCATAGACAAAAAAGTATGACTTGTGTGAATACGGTTTTTGATGACAGAACGCATAAGTTGATACTAAAGCAACCATAAGCCATGTGCATCCTTACCATTGAAGATGTCATTGGTGCAAAAGGATTTCTTTGAGCATGAAACAAATTGTGATTGATAGTAGCCTAGGTTCTACTTCCTGAGTAGAATAAAAACAAGCGTTATAATTAATAGTGAGAATATAATTTGTTCATGAAGCCTTATAAGGGTATGCATGCACCCTCCCATTGAAGAAGTATTAATAGCCAGAATAAGTTTATCATGTATAGTTTATACTAAAAACTACACAAGAGCATGTGTATCTTACTAGGGTGAAGTATTTGTTGCCAAAATATTTCCTGTATCAGAACCAAACTGTGATTTGACTGTAACTCAGATTCCACCTGAATTAAGAATATAAAGAAACAATATAATGTTGAACAGAAGACATCTATTTGTAATGAGAACTACCCATAAGATAGATTTTTTTTCTCACTTCCAGAACTCATTGCCCAAACAGTGAGTCGACGGTTGCTGAGATTCTACTGAAGCAAGAATCATAGATAAGCAAGTATAGATCTTGATACTTTCCTCCTGCATTATGTATTACTTGAGTTGAAAAGTTTTCTGAGACACATGTTCTATCTCACCTCTGTAGAAGTTTTTTCTGCATAGGTTTCAGCATCAGAAGCCAAACGGTGACTCGGTTGACCATCATCGGGAGTTGAAGTATTAGGCTTGCCCTTGGATTTTTTTCTACGTAGCGGAAAACAAATCCTTCTGCAAAACAAATGAAAAGAAATGAATGTTGGATCGTCTAGAATGCTTAGTACATACTCACCAAGAGAGAAAACAGAACAAAAAAACTTTAATTCATCATAATAATTGTATCCAGACTCACGTCTGTGAGTAATTTTCACATATATGTGGTTTCAGCAGAGAACATAGCTCAATTTTTTTTACCAATTTCCACGGATATTGATCACTACTGTAATAAAAAATTAAAGTAGATACAATATAGTTTTTTTTATCAAGCTCATCCATCATCATTTCAATCTTCAACCAGTAAATGAGTAATACAAAAAACAGAGTATATGAAAACAGTAGATGAAGATGTTTAATAGATAAAATTCAACACTAAAGCATAAATTAAGAACAACTCATAATAGTAATGAGTTAGTAAACTCCAAAAATGAGAAAGAAAACCAGAAAGCAATACACCTTATAACGAGGGTCGTCATCATCAACATAGTACTCGTGCATAACCCAGTCAGTCTTGATCTTCTGCTTAGGAGAACCACCACGTTTATAGTAAACATAATTCTTTTTGCCACCGATCCGCTTGCCAGTACTTTTATCCCTGACTTCACGATCGTTACCTGTTTTTTCCCAGTTTCCATTTATTAGGTGGGCTTGTTTACCCTTTACGTTCTTATATGGTTCAGAGAAAAAGGGCCACGCTTGTTCATCGCAGTTAATTTTTGAAAGTCCTGCATCACAATTAAATTCACATAAAAAACTGATTTATCTGACTAACTGATTATTGATAGCTTGAATCCACTTACCGGGCAACTCAGAGGGATCGAGCTTGAAGATATCAAGTTCATTAATCTCGTCGGGTACAGAAAATTCAGGATCAATCCTCTTCTTCTTGAGGAGACGGATGATCTCTATTTCCAGCTTACGGCCCATGAATGCTACAAGAGAGGCCATAGATATCTGATTCAGCAGAAGCAGTGAGAGAGTGAAGTCAAGTAGTGATGGGGAAGACTTATGCTTTCACTACACGCTTGACGCTAGGCTTCCTGTGTACACAAAATGGGTACTGTTGAATGAGGTTATAACAGTAACAGAATCTTAAAATTTAAAGCCACGTTGACTGAATATTGCTTCTATAAATATTTATAATTATAATTTCAGTTAAAAAGTTGGGAAATTATATAAATAGATATATATTATTCAAATAATAAATATGGTCTTGGAAGTCAAAGGGTGCGTTTGGTTTATTATTTTAGATAGGATTTTGGGGATAGTATTAGATAGTTAGATAGGGAAATATTACGAGATAAAATTTAAAAATTTATGAAAAAGCCTCCAAAGTTTACTAATTTAATAAACACCCCAATATATTAAAATATTATAAAATGACAAAAACACCCCTAAACCCAAAATGTCAGATTCCGGCCACCACCACCGGAATCTGGCCAGAAAATAGGATAACCACAAATACCGGTCGGATTTGACCGGTATTCGATCGATATGGCCTTTTCTGGCCATATCCACCACGGATCTGGCTGGAAAATGCCAGATCTAAGGCCGGATGTGGCATTCGACGGTCGAAAAAGGCCAACTTTGACCGTCAGCGATGGCTAAAGATATGGTTGTCATTGTCTGTCAAATCTGGCCATCGCTGACAGCCAGATTTGGCCTTTTCCGGCTAGATCCGCCACGGATCTGATCGAAAAAGGTCATATCTAGCCATTACCGACCATTTTCGATGGTCGTGTGACTGTTGTAACAGATTTCGGCTACCACTAATGGTGGTTGTCGAAATCTGGCAAGTATTGTGGGTGGAGGTGTTTTTGTTAGTTTTTAAACTTTTTTTCTGGGGGTTATTTAATAAAATTAATAAACTTATGAGGTCTAAAAGTAATTAAAAAAAAAAGACTAATATTTTGAGAATAACGTGCCAAACAACATTTGAAGAATAGGATTGAGAATATGGATAAAAACAATAAACCAAATACACCCAAAGATAACAAGAAAATAACAAAAGAAGATATCTTTTAAAAAATTAGAATAATCTATAATACACATGTTAAAGTGAATTAGAAGAGTATTAATTGATAAATAGAGCGCGCCGTTAAATAACGGCCGATGAAATGTGAAGGAGAAAAAAAAAAAAAGAGTAAACGACCTTTTCCCACCCAAGGTTTGGCCTAATGACACTTTTCCACTTAAAAATTTTCAAAATACAATTTTACCATCCACATTTGTTAGTAAATTTTTGTTATGAAAGAGGGTAAGTTGGTCAAAAGTCCCATTTAAGTAAGGGTAGAATAGTCTCTTCCTTCGCCACCTCTATTCTCCTCTCTCCTTCGCCATTGCCGATAGAGAAAAGAGACTGAAACTAAATCTTTTCCTCAAAGTCAAACTCTGTTTTCTCGCAATCTATATCAAATTGGAACTCATCATCTCCCATATTTGCCTGGGGTGAAAACACTTCTCTCTCAATCACTTTGCTTCAATGCAAATAATCTCTAGTTCACTAGGTTCCTCTTTCCCAGCACGAAATTCCCCACTCATCATCTCACCAGTTTCAACAAGACAAAGACCAAATTCAATAGCTTTCTTTAGGAAAATTGTGCAGAGAACCAACACTCGCAGACAAGCCTCTCGGATCATCGAGAGCCCCCTTCGCAGCATTTCAGAGTCACGAACAGGATCAAGTTTCCTAATGTAATCAAAGTTCATCATCTTAAAACAGAATCGAAGCCTGAGGCCAATGGATCCACTCAAAATAGGGATCCTCCAAAGTTTCTGGCAAGCTTAGGCCATGGTCAATTGGAATGAGCTCCACCTGACCAAAGTTCCCAACACCATCAAGCTTCCTCACTAAAAGGTTTCCCGCATGTCTACGATGTTTATAATTCTAACATTTAATATCCCTATGCAATGCACCACAGTAACTGGGAAGCTTGATGTCCCATGATCACTTGCATCAAAATTATGCTTTATGAACTGCTGGAAAGATGCAATCTTACTAACCAGAATCTTTTAGTGAGCCTTGTTCCCATTTACCCCCTCATTGGCATTGAAGATTGAGTGTGTGATCTTCACCAGGGTAGTGGGAGGCACATTTGCAAAGTGATCATAATTAAACAGGTGGGGGGCAGGAGATGGTGGGAGAGTTGCGGGTGGTGGTCGACGACGATAGGTGGCTATTAGGCCTTCTCAATTCAAACACCAACTCAATAACAAAGCACACTCCAAAAATCAATCAAAACACAACACAATCCACAAAAAACAATGCATCCATCAATCAACCCCACAAAACTCTAGTCAATTTCGCGAAATCGGCGGCAATGGAAAACTTTGCGACTGGGAGTGAAGTTGACGGCAAGTGCATGTGGTGAGGCTGTTGGTGGCGGCGAGCTGGCGGGCGGAGGGACAAGGGTGGCAGATTTTGGTGTTGAGGAGTAGGGAAGAAAAGAGAGGAAGAAGAAAGGATATTTTCGACTTTACAACCAATATATACAGTATTTAACAGAAATTACTAATGGAATATAACAGGAGGGTATTTCCTTCCATCACAAGAAGTTGGAAAATTCAAAGAAAACTGGGCCCTTTACTAGAGTCTTCTTTCTCCTTTTCTTCTTTTTCTTAGTAGGTTCGTGATCAACAAGGAGTGATTTGCTTTTTATAGTTCTATTGTTATTATATGTGTTATGCCTAAGGAAATAAAGGCCTGACGTGGGAAGAGTCACGTGAAGGGCGACCTGTCCTCGTCAGAGCAACACGCACACGTCAGACCTGCCAAGTGATGTGGAGCCCACACGCGTCCTTTCTCCTGCCACAAGTCGTGCGATGTCAGCTTGGAAAAAGGGAAATGGGACATAAAGCCTGATTATACACTGACAATCACACCAAACCACGGATTTAGCAATGATTATACTTTTCAGTTCAGTATAAAATGGGAAGACCCTTCATTAAGGGGATTCGGCCATTTTACATAAAAAGGGAACGAACCAGAAATTTCTCTCTTGTAAAACTTTGCTTTGACTTTTTCGTCTGTGTTGTAAGTCAGCTCGCGACCGCGGACCTGACACCCACTAATATCAATACAAATCAGTGGACGTAGGACTTGCTATCTTAGCATCCGAACCACTTAAAAATTCCCTCTACAGCTATTTTATTTTTCTTTCATTCTATTTTCACTACATCAAACGTCACTGTGATATATACGTAAAATCGTTGGTGCAAGATCGAGCATCAACAATATGATTTCAAGATTACTGTGAGTCATCCTACTATTCAAAACAATCCTTGGCTTTAACAACATATGAATAACTTAGTTTCTTACATCATTAACACAGTGAGTGGTGATGTGTCTCCCTCACAAGTTTTTCTGGGTGTCTTCTCCGTGTCATACTGAATTTACTAACAAATTAAGCTAACAAATCTCACTGATCAAACCGTTCAAATTAAGCTCTAATAAGAACAGCACTCAAACAAGTTAGCATGAAGGTTAGCAACCATTTGGTCAATTGCAATGTTATTGCATCACACCATACTCATTTCTGTTGACCTATTTGAAAGAAACATTGTTGGAAAATGTTCTTTCTTCATTTATTTTAAGTTTCTCACCCGGCTTATTATAGTGTCCAAAACTTTCTCCTTGGCATAACGAAGATACTTTTGCGGTAGCAGTTTCGGAGTTACAGAAGTTATCCAAAAAAAAAGGATGTGTACACACATTCCTGTGATACTAAATTGGTGGGATTTTTGTCTATTCTGAGTTTTCCAGGTTCTTCTGTTCATATATAGGAATTTTTTGTCCACTGATCGCAGGGCGCATCCTTGGTGCAGATACCTGTCCGCCGCTTCGAACGCTTGTGCTCTTTCAGCCTCGACGGACTCTAAGCTCTGCTTCAGCTTCGCGACCCCTCTTCGAGGTCGCTAGTTCCCTTTGCGTCTCCAGACGCGTCTTCCTCCATGGACATCCTCATCGCAAGTATCCCTGCAGCAGCTACGTTTGAAACAAATCGGATTGGAATTTCCAAGAACGTCATTTACCTTGCTCAGATGCTGAAACGACGTAGCCAGCAGTCGTCGCCCGTATCTGCAAATTCATTGTATGACTCCGATAACTCGCAATCGAGCAGGCCATAAACGATGGCTGCAGGTACTCGGCAGACTCCCCAATGAATCTAGAACAGGTGCGTCCGTTCACCTGCCTCGCTCACAGGCTCCTTCCCCCGACCTCCGGGACCCCTGACGCGACCTAAGAGCTCTCCTCAGATTCGGTCTCCGACTCGTCAGGCTGAATTTGCTTTCTCTTCTTTGACTTCTGGGCCGAGCCTTTCGCTTAGGGCGAGTAGTCGTGCCTGAGCAGCCTGTCCCGACCTGGTTGCCCCCTTGCGCAGCAGGCCGGGGCTGGGGAGCCGGGACTGTTCGCACCGGCTGTGCCGGGACAGCACGAGCAGCGTCAGCCTCCCTCTCTCTCCCCGATCGAGGAAGACAAACGTGCTCGACGGGACTGCCCGGACTCCTTTGGGGGCATCGTTCCTGCACTCGAGGTCGTTGTAAACGAAATCATTTAACGACCAGAAAGAAACCAGTAACTTACCTTCAGCGTTCTAAAGATGCCCGTCGCTGAAAAAACTGTACTTCC